GCTGAACACGGACTAGGCTCCAAGGTTACAGCCACATTGCTTGTCCTACTCATAGTCCATTCCAAATGAGCAGTTCAAAAACTGAGACTTATTCTGTGCATTTTACAGAGTAATCTGGGATAAAGCCAGGGTCATATCACACCTGCTATATCACCTGCTATGCAACAGTGATGAGTAAGACCATTAGTATTATTTAGTACAGTTATTGCTTACTAAATCTGGTCAAAGATACGGTCCCCATTGTACTATAGGCTTTTTAAATACATGCAAACTTATATAAAGGTGATTTCTAACTCAGAAGGCAAGTAACAAATTTAAAAGCCACAAAACCAAGGTTAGCACCTTGTCCCACTGCTCACCTCCCTACACTTGCATTCTTGTTATGTTTCTGATAATTCTTTTTGCCATGTGGGGTGATTCTTCACACATGAGTGAAGTCAGCAAAAATCTATGTTTGCTGGAAGTAAACCTCTCAGTTTTAAAGACGTGTTCAGATTTCAGAAACATAACAAAGTTGCAAAACTATAGGTTCTACTATCACCCCATAGCTCCAGGTTAAATTTTTTTGTTCATTTGGAAACATTTCTTAACTTTTTTTGTTATACATACTTAACCCTCTAATAAACTTTCAGAAAAAACCCTCCACTTAAATACAGAACAGTCAAGAACCTGCAATATTCTCTAGTTTAGGCATCTACATTTTATCCATATTACAACACAGTAAAGATGGCATTGTTGCCCTTGCTTTAGTCCCATAGCAATTTTCCACTGTATCATATTTAGTATGTTGCACTTAGGATGTCACATTTGAGATTAATCTTATTAGAGTAATAAATGGCAAACTCACATCAGCAAACAACAGAATTACATCTCAGTTTATCAGACACTGCAGGTATGTTTACATCACATTAAATGATTAGCTAATGTTTTGTTTTATTTGAAGCTGATAATAAAAAAAACCCCTTACCTTGGCATACTTTAAGGTAAATGTTATTTTCTCGAGCTCATAAAGTGTAGGTGGATTTGAGCTAATTGCAACAGCTATAACTGATGAGCTTACTGTCTGTGTCTGTTCTGAAGGATCTTTTGAGGAGAGGTTTTTAGGCGACGAAAGCAAAGAACCAATATTGCTATACCGCAGAAAGACAACTGCAACAGTGCCTATCAATCAAACAGACCGTGTTTAGTAGTTTGTGGGTTTTTTATAGAAGCACAAAATTGAAGACATTAAGGAAACAATAAACAATAGACATTATTGCTGCTATTGCACAAAATATGCAAACCAGATGGAATCTTTGTGGAATACTTATAAAAATGTTTTAGAGACAATGAAATATAGCTTTATTTAAAGCAATGTAACTGGCATTAGAAATAAAAATGTGTGTTTACACTGGAAATACTAATTAGATATATATTTTTTTTCTAGAGTGATATGTGTTTGCTGCTGTTCTGCAACTGGTTACACATGTGGTGTCAAGTCTTATAAATTAAAATGGCTGAGACCTGGGTAAATACTAGACCTCTCTGAAGTACCTGGCTTGCTTTGACTTTCATTACAGTGGATCCAGGATTGAAGACAAATAAGGAAAAAGAAAACAAAAACTATTTTGGGATGCAGTGCTGATTTAAAAAAAATGCAGTGACTTGCTCCCTGGTACCAAACTGAGCCACATTTTTAGATACTGATAGGTGGTGAGATACAAATTAGATGGAAGATTGCAATGAAAAAAAATCTTTCCTATGTTTATTAATGTATGTGGTTTAATTCCAGAGCTGTTTAAACACATTTATTTATTTTTAGTGATGACGGTAGTTGTAAGCCCTTTCTGTAGCCCTCTGAGGTCCAAACCAGATCTAGGTCCTACTGGTTTTGGTGCTGAAGATTACATGTTCTTTCCCCAGTGAGCTACTCTAAATAGAAAAGATGCATAAATTTTTATAGGAAAAGTAGCACAAAGAGTTGAAGGGGCCAGTCCAAATTCATATAGCAGATCTGTGGCTGGGAAAAGGATAAAGCTCAGGTTTCTGGTACCAGTATCCAGTGTGAAAACTCACTGCATACTCACTGTGCCACTGGAAAGGTTAGAAATGTCAGTCTGGAGACAATAAAGGGGTAGGAGAAATAGTGATGAAAACACATTGTCTCCTCTGTAGATAGCACTGCTGGAACTCAGTCTTGGTAAACTGCACATTTGGTAGTTTGCTCGTGAGTGCAAGCATATCCAAGGTGTTTATTAACCCACCTACTCTCTAACCTTTGTTTCTTACCATTAGGATGAGGTTCCTTTCTCTTCTTTGGAGAGATTTTTATGTAATCTCCCTCTGTGTATACATGAGGGTGAATGTGTTTCATGTGGTGTGAATCAAAAGCAAAAACCTTGAGTGCTGTAAAAGAAGAAAAATACTGTACAAATCACGGCTCCATTATGGTCTACCATAATTTACAGTTGGGTTAATAAATGTGCTATTGGATTGCATAATTACTGTGAATTTGAAGAATATATAATTGTGCAAAATATTTCAAGAAAAATGCCATTATTTGCATGTTTGCTTAAACCTCTATGTTTTGTTATTTTCATGCATACATTTTGCTCTCATACTTTTTACTCTTTCCATGAAAAATATAGTCTCTTATTTACCTTGCATTAAATTAGGTACTGGAAAAAAACAATGTAGGTTACTTTAGGAAGAGCTATTGCTTTATTAAAAATGCATTTCTGAAAGGGGCTACAAATCACAATTATAAAAAGCAAAGCATAAAATTCTCTACTGAATAGTAACATTTGATAAAAGCCAAGTTTTGAAAAGTATATATTTTATAGTTATCTATCCGAGCTACCAAATGCACATTGCACCATGAACTAATGATGTGTCTTGTCAAAAAAGCAAACAAACAAGCATCACCCCTCAGGACAAAAACTACATTAGAGGACATTGAGCTCTTTACTTGCTTCATTACAGTACTGAATTTCAGTCACTCAGGATGGGAACTAAAAAATGATAAATTAATCAGGCCTTTTTTTTTAAAAAACAAAACAAAACAACAACAAACAAGTCTAAAACTTGACTGATGTAGGAATATCACTAAGCTAGACCATCTGCATTGCTTATAGCATAGCACACAAAAATAATATGAGCTATTCAATAGACCAGCTGTCAGAAAATGTTTGTCAGGGCATAAGAAATAGTATTCTTTGGCTGGAGTTTTGAAAAGCTCATCATTCAAGAACTTGTACCATAAAAAGCAGTAGAGAGAGAGCAGTAATGTTGTAGGTTTTGTCCCAAAACAGTTGTGTGGGGCACATATGATACCTGTGGAAAATTTATTCATGCTGAAAAAGAATAACAAAAAAGTTTAGTGTTTGGGTCCAATTTGGAAGTGAGATCATAAAGTCTATCATTTTAGAACAAAAACAAGCAAAAAACCTATCAACCTTTCAACATGAAAATTTCTCCATGTTCACTTTATCAGCTCTTTCTGTCACCTTGGTGACTGATATCTACACTGCCACTGCAGCCTGCACCCAAATCCTCTCTTCCAACCTACATAGCCTCAGCTCTGTGGCCATGAGAGCCTCTGCTTTCAATCTGGGGTGTGGGGTGTGGGGATGTTGGTGTCACAGAGGCTTTACAGCCTGCACATGGCACTGCTCTGGATATGCTGCAGACCCAGAGATGCTCTGCACTAATGTAAGTCTGATTCTACAGAATCTCTGCCATGGAACAAATCCCTTCCTATTTTTTCATCACTGTAATTTACTTTCAGAAAAGTAAAGGAAGAACAGGTGGTTTGACCTGCCTTGGGAACACAGGATAAATCTTTCTCATCAAGTCAACTTATAAAATAGCAAGCCAGTAAGAGGCACTGAAGGACTGTACTAAATCTAAAATAAGAAATCAGGTCACATACAGTTTGGGAACATTCAGAAAAATAAAGATGAAAGAGTGGCCATTGCCAAAGGAATCAGCAATGCTTTATTAGGATTTTCAAAAGCAGCTGGTGTTAGCCTCACTCTGCTCCCAGTGAAGGAATGGTAAAACTAGTATTACCACTGGGAAATCAGCAGGTGTTGGTGGGAAGACACCAGCACACAGGGAGAAGGTAGGAGAGTACAATGGTGCAGTTGAGACTAACCAGTTCTATTCTCTCTTAAAATGAGATATTTCTATTAGGATAAAGCTACTCAAGATCAGAGTCGCTAAGTACAATTCTTATTCCAAGTTAATTTATAATACCTTTGCTGAACCAAAAAGAGTGAAAAAAATATGTAAGAGCAAGTCCAAATTTCATTCCACTGGTGGGTTTTATGCATGTAAGATGCATAGGACAATTTTGTGCTTAAAAATGAATTCAGATTCACTGTGATTGTGGCTATAATGAGAGGCTGAAATGATCTGAAAGGACAACTTCCCACAGACTCAATTTTTTTTCCTGGGCTCTGGGCTCAAATGTTGAATCTTTGAAAATTATGATGCCTACACTGAAAGTCAGGTGTTATTTATGAAAATCATACAAATTAACACCTGTGTCTTTCACATAACACCATTTCTAATCTTCATAATTGTGCTGAAAAACTCATCAGTGTAATCCACATCTAAAGTATACCTTAGATTAATTTTCTTTATCTTACCTATGTCACTTGCATTAGCATCTAGCTGTGTTGTCTTTTTGAAGTTCTGTGACATGAGAAGCGTCGCCTGTTCTGCAGTGTGCAGCAGTGTAGTCAGGCTCCGCCTTTGGTTATCCACAGGAAGAGCTTCCCAGACTGCAATTTTGTCTTTTTTTAAAAAATTGTTCACAGTGTTGACCAAAACCTGTAGAAAAAAGTATATATTTAAGCAGAAGAGTCATATGCAATCTTTAAAATAATGGTAAACCTCACAAGTTCAAGGCTCAATCCACTCACGTTAATGGTGATATTGTGAAGTGTTTCATTCTGAGACACAGACTCATGCATGGTATTCCACGAGGAATAAGATAGTGCTTCAACATATGAAATCACATCTACAGGTAAAAGTGGTCCCAAAGTATTTTTATTAATTTCTTGTAGCATCTCCAGAGGTGTTTTAAAATGACTTATCTGAAAAATACCAGAACTTGCATATTAATGAAACAAGTAAAGTCACATTTCTGCAAAGTGAAAATAAACCCAATGCAAATGACTGATTTCTCTGAATTAAGGTACTGGCTTTTAAGACAGTTGTGCATAAAAAAATAACACTATTTAAAGCAACAGGTTAACCTATAAAATCTTGGTGTTACACATGTCTAGTATAACCCTAAGCAAACATGATTAAAAAAACCCTCATGTGCTATCATTACACCTTTTTTTCCCCTGCTACTACTGCTCAGTTTTATTTATCCTGATGATCGAAAGTGAAGTAGTAAATGTTCTGCGAAAATAATTAAATATCAGTAATATGATTATTCCATTGACTTTTCTATTAATTTGTAACTGAAGAGGTGGGAGCAGATGGGCAGTATTTGTACATTATTTTTTTTCAAATGCAAATTATAAAGAATACAGTTGAGTGAACTGTACTGCCTATTTTGCATTCACTGCTTCAGCTTATGAACTGCTAAATGCACCTTCATAAAACAACTAGCTTAAAAGTACACATGAGAGGGTGTGAGATGAAGATTAAGCTTGCAAATTTCAGTCTCATGGCTGAATAAGAAAAGAATTCTTTCTTCACAATATGGAAATCTAGTAAAAAACCCTTCCAAAACCTAACACCTGATTTTGTAAGATCTGTAGTCTCTGCTGCTGAATGGCTTTTATGGGGCTTGCTTTGTCTTTGACTACAATGAAATAGAACTAGAACACAGGCTAAATTCTGACAGTTATTTACATGAAGTTAAAGCATTTTGACTTATTACTTGATTTAAGTTTAGTTTGACTATGTATTTAAAACAATCTCGCTCTAAGATCCTGCTGTGGCATTTACCATGTCTTTGCACCTAAGTGTGATAAGCATGTATTATATTTGATATAATCTACTGCATTGCAGGTAAACATAGAAAACATGTTAATACAATGCATATACAACACTAGGTTAATAAAAGTCTTAAAACCTATATCTTTCCATATCCCGTAACTTCAGCAAACTGCTTAATAGCAAATGCAAATGTATAGAATTGGTTTTTATTTTTTTATGTTTATGCTTCATTTGTCCTTTAAAATTGCACAATATTAGCTGCAGAATAATGACCGGTTCATTCATTAATATATTTTTTAACTTGCTTCAGGAATCTGTTTCTGGTGAAAAAAAAGATTTGAGTCTGGAGTCATTGGTTCTATAAATCCTGTACCACTTTACATACTATGCTTTGAGGAGTAAATCCACCAGCATACCAGGATGTTATAGTTCCATTTTCTATTTAGTCACTTGTTGACATTACTTTTGTAAGCTATCTTGCTGCCTTTCACTCTGAACAAGCAAATAATTGCACATCAGTAAATGCAGCAGTGTGTAACTTCAAAAATTACAGAAACAGCTGAGTGATTACCACACTTCTGAATTTTTCATGCATCATGACTCCCTTTGCTGGAAACAGAACACACAGATTCCCAGCAAGTTATTATTGTGATTCGAACATACAACCCAGCTCAAATAATCTGAAATTATTAAAAAGACTTCTGTAAACATGCTTATGTTCAATTGTATGCTTCAAGCATTTGTTAAAAGCTGTTTAAGAACTATTATAATTGAAATAGCAGTTTCAAACAGAAGCAATTAAAGGATTTGGAAATTAATCTATAAACCAATGCTACTTACCCTGGCTAAAGTTCTATTAATATGTTCCATTATACAGTCTTTGAATAACTCACACTTGGCCTTCGGATTTTCTGTAGAAATTAAAAAGAGACTAATTATACATTGTGTTTCAATCAATATTCCATATATACTAACGGTAAAAGCTCTTCTCTAGGTCATTCCCCAAACCACCAGCATTCTGAATTTATGCACATAAGGTATGGCACTTGATTCTCAAATTTCAATCACAAAGACTTTATCTTGGCCAAACTTACAGCTCTGGGTTGGACTCTAAGCTATTGTTTTACTCGGTTAGAAAGTTTGGCCCCTTAGTATTTCCACAGGTGCAGTTAAGAGACTGCTCAAATTTACAGAGAGGAGTACAGATCTGACAAGTATGAGGAGGTAACCATTATTTCATATGTATTTCATCACACTGTTTAGCAAAAATACATTTACAAAATTATTCTATTCTCAAGAATTCTAGATGCCACCGCTTTGCCTCTTTTACATGTCTTGCTGATTAATCTAACTGAAGATAAATAGGCACTGGTGGGTTTCTCAGAAGATGTAGCTCTGTAATAACACATAAACCTTTATAATATCATGTACCTTGGCAGGAAGTGCCATCATTTGGCTTAAACTGCAATTTTCCTGTGGATGGTTGATAACCTTCCTTACAGGAGCAGTTAAACCCTCCATCCACGTTTTCACATTTTGCATGATCTCCACAGGCAACAGTTCCTTCATTGCTGCACTCATCTACATCTGCAAATATCGTGAGAAATTGAATTTTTTATTAAGTATTTACAGACTAACACCTTGCTGCTTTGTAGATAATAACCCCGCACACTGCAAGTAGTTTCATAATAAAATTTCATGTAATAAAAAAAAAAAGAAAAACTAAAAAGGCAGTCTTAATGGTAAAAAACCTGCCAATTATAATAGTTAAAGATTAGAAGGATAAATCTTAATTGATCATATTTTTATACCACCACTTTTATTGCTATATAATACTGCATTGCTCATGCTTTAAAACCATATTAATTCTATCATAGCAAAATGGTTGGCATGATGCAAATCATCTGAAATCCATTTTTTTAGAGATTAGACTAAATAGATTTTCTCAGCTTTATGATTCGGCTAGAAAAGAGAAAAAAACCTGCAGACTTTTAAGTTGCAGCTTTAAAAGATGCTACAAAAGATCACTCTGTCCACCTTATTAATCTAAGAATTAAAGTCTGTGCCCTTTAAAGTGCTTGGCATAGCTATTTTATTATTATTTTAATTCATGTTTAAATTACATTTGCCTAAAATGTCTTTTGTGCTTGTAAATAATTTGCCATTAGGTAGACAGGTTTAGTAACTGGGCAGGGCACAGTCCAAGAGTAAAACTGATGAATTCCAGTAAGGGAATCCATGAATTGATCAATTTAGGAGAGTTGGGTACTAACTCCCTGGCCGGAGTACAGATTATTTTGCATTATTTGGTTGGCTAAGGATACAGATCAAATAACTCAACAGAGATAGTAAACTGGGAACAATACCAAATAATTCTGAAGAATGAAGTAATGGACTGTGAAATGCTGTACTGGAAAGGAGAAAAAAATGTACAGCTTTGGGAGAGGTATATCTGATGAAAAGAGTTGAAAAATGAAAAAGTGATACATGAGCAGGTTTAAAGGAACAGCCTGAGAACTGACCTGAAGGAAAGTAAAGGTAGTGCAGAGAATGGATGAACCAGAGAGGAAAACAACCCAAGTTAAGAACTGGTAGGACACTTAATTTGGGAAAGAAATTGGTGAAAAAACAGAGAAGTGATTAACCAATAAGTGGAGGACAAGCGGTACCTGAATTGATATTTAACCTCTGCACAGCCAGTGGGTGTTAGGAACAGACAGACAGTAAGCAGGATCTGGGGTGGCTGGAAAAACAGTATATAGAAGCTAGTTTTGCACTCTGCCTTAGATACAAGAATTTTGGTGTGTTCAGAAAGGAGCAGAACAAAAAGGAGCAATAATGCATAAGATGGTTTTTGGAACATGGAAAAATGCACTGCATATATCTAGGGAATGCAAAAAATTATCTGGAGGGTACCTGGAGCCCATCTGCCTATTTGGACAGCATTTTTGCCAATGCTGTAGGACATTGTTTACTAATGGTGAGAGTGCCACCAGAAATAATCAGATAAATGGGGATTTGTCTGGGTTTTTTTTTTTGTTGCTTTTTTGTTCTGCTGTTGGGTTTTTGTTGTTGTTGTTTGTTTTTTTTTTATGTTGTTATTATTGGGTTTTTTATACAGGGAAACAGTAAAACGCTTATAAACTTTGAATGGAGTATCCCAACATTTCTTCTGCTCATAATTCTAGAGCTCTTCCTGGGATTCAAGGTAATGTTTGAGGTCCTACCTCACTTTCATGTATCTTTTTCTCATGAGCTATGCCTCTGATTTGCACCTGACATACTGTGTTTTAACCCTGAGGTTCAAAAATACTGCTGGAAAAGCCATTCAGACTCCTGCACGGATGGAAGGGAGTTGTGGAGGTGCATTTGCCCTCCCCAGCACAACCACCTCTGCTCTGCAGGGAGAGCCATGAAGGAAGCTGTGTTTGAATGGGTTGATGCCAGTGCAGAAGTTTAAAGTATGAGGTTAAATTATAATTATCTGCATTAAAGCAGTAGTTTGTTTCCATGCCTAATGCCCAAACTGCAAATGTTTCTCTTTAAGAAACTGATTTTTGCATTATCTGTATTTATATGGTTTCTGTGACCTCAGAAAAAAGCGTGATATAGTGCTACACACAGGATGCCTCGTAATTAAATGCTGTCATTTAAAGACATAAGGCTAAAGTTCTTAGTCTTGGCATTTAAATAACCTCTCACACCAGTAAATTATAAAACTCTGTTTGAAACAAGTGGGTGCCTGTCAGTGGCTTTTTCATGACTCTGTGTAAGACAGAGAAACTTTGAATGAATTGAAGTGGCAAGGGTGAAAACCATTGACAGTGCTGGTTCATATCAAAAGAAACACATTGGCCCTATACCAAAGATTTCTTTGGCCTTGTCAGCTACATGGAGAAGGACACACACATCTTAACAAGATACTCATAATGTAATGCAGTGCTAAAACAACAGCAACTGACAAGTATCTTTGCTAGAACTTACAATGACTTATAAATAAATAAATAAATATCGAATGCTTTTCAGAGTACCATTGCTATGTGTCAGGTTTCCATGTGACTTAATGATGCAGATGTTTCAAAATTATGATATTTTGCTTTTCATAAGCGTTTAGTTCATTAAATTATTTATTTGTCATTATTGGGCAGTCACAAAAATTACCCTTTTGTAATTATGTCAGATATTAAGTGTAATGAAAATTTTAATGAGAAGTCAGGATTATCCAAAACAACAGCAGAAACTCAAGCACCATGGCACATCTCTGGCAACAGGACAGCTATTTAAAGTCTGATAGAGACACCCTGTTGAGTATATGCAAATAGACTTTCTGCAGCTGAGTTGTCCATATGGAATGAGTCCATATCTTTAATATCTTTATTGATGATT